GAGATGCGGAGACAACAGGAAGAAATGATGCGGCGACAGCAGGAAGGATTCAAGGGAACCTTCCCTGATGCGGTATATCTCCCATGTGCCCATAATGTATGAGACCAATCGTGACATGACACATTGTGAATTGTCCTCTGCTATGTAATGTACAAGGTTATTGCCAGTTTCTCCGTTCCACAAAACTTGTAGAAAGAATTCATAGGACGGAAAGTTTAAAGGAAAATGCTTCTTGCCAGAAAGGAAATTTAGGATAAAAAGTTAGGACCTTTGTATGATGTTTAGTCTTCAGCAACTACTAGATAAGAGATAATTGGTTATGGAGCAGCCTTGAGTATTTTTGTGCTCTCCTCCCAGTTACTATACAGGTTGGAGGAGCCATAGGGAAACAAAGACTTAACATTCATTTTATGTCTCTTGTTGCTAAATAGGAATGTGTTTCAGTGAGCAAGGAGCTGTTGGTGGTGGTGCAGCTTGGTTAATACTCGTGGGATGTGTTATCATTTAATGTACTTGTCTTAGAATGTGCTCCTAAATGAATGTTGGTAAAATGCAGTGCTTCCTTGGACCGTTCTGGGTGTTTTCTGTTTTTCAGAGAGAACAGGAGCTGCGGATGGGTCAGATGGCTATGGGAGGTAAGTGTGTGTGTGTGTGTGTGTGGGGGGGGGGGTTAATGGTCATGGTTTTTCTGTGTCTTTTGGCCACACCTGGCGGTACTTAGGGGTTACTTCTGCACACAGGAATTACTCGTGGTGGTGCTTGGAACCATATGGGATGCTGGGAATCAAACTGGGTTGGTGGCATGCAAAGCAAGCACCATACTCTCTGTACTATCTCTCTGGCCCCTGGTTATGATTTTATTTCCTTTCCTTTTTTGAGTTTCATTTGTGGTAAACTACAGAACTTACTGTTTTACTAGGCTCCTTTTTTTTTCTTTTGTGGTGGGGGGTGGTGGGCCATACCAAGCTATGCTTAGGAGTTACTCCTGGTGGACTTGGAAGACCATGTGCAGTGTTAGGGATCAAACGTGGGTCAATTGCATGCAAAGCAAGTCCCTTGCCCACTATACTATCTTTCCAGTCCCTCTAATAGGTTTTGTCCTAATTGTTCTGAATTTTGAATTTTTAGTTGTTCATTGGGGGCGGGGATATGTGCAGCAGACCCTGGTGTCTTCTGGGTCAGTGCTTAGGAGTACTCAGAGAACCATGTGATTATGGGAACTGAACTTGGGGCTCCTGCAAATATGTACTCTTACTCTAACCTCAGCCTCTGGCTTATTTATTTGGAAATGTTGGGCCCTACCAGTGTTCTCAGGGGCTGCCGTCTGTGCTCAGGGAACTATGCTGGGCAGTGCTGGGAATCTAACCTAGGCCTCTGGCCCACAAGACGTGCACCTCTCTTGAGACATTATCTCCAGGCCTTGTATTAACTTTTAAATTCAGTGTGTTGGGACCCCATTCAGCTGTGCTTGGGATGTTACTCTCAACTTGATGCTGGGAATAGGGCATCCTGGTGAAGCTCCTGTATTAAAGCATGCATTCCAGCCCTTTCAGCTACCTCCTACCTCTCCTAATTTTTGTACCATGGATTGAACTCAAGGCTTCGCATGCAGTGTATGCTCTACCATTAAACCATACTCCACAACCCTTCATGTACAAGTAGATTAACACATTGATGCCAGCTCATACTTCTGGTGGCTCACACTTGGATGTAGCTTAATGTAAATTATGCCAACATGTTAAGGGGCTAACATTTCAGGAGCAGTGTTTTCAAGTGGTTGGTGGGGGTAAGGGATGAGGATGGTTTGATCATTTCAGCCCAAAGAATTGTTTACTTTTAGCACAGAGAGAGACAATTCTCTTTGTCTTGTATAGTAATGTACTGACTACATTATTCTGTTTGAAGGTGCTATGGGCATAAACAACAGAGGTGCCATGCCTCCTGCTCCTGTACCGGCTGGTACCCCAGCTCCTCCAGGACCTGCCACTATGATGCCAGATGGAACCTTGGGATTGGTAATAAATTGCAGGGCCTTCCTAGTAATTGTAAATTAGTGCTTTACAGATTTATCTGGCCTTTTCAGAAAAAAGTAACAAAATAAAACAAAGCCACCCCCTAGATATAACTGCCTACTTTATGCAAACAAAATGCCTCCCATCGCACTAGAAGCTATTACTGCCTCCCTGGATTGTACCAGCACCTTCCCAGAGGGACAGTATTGCCTCCTTTGGGAAATACTTTTTTAAATGAAGAAAGGAGAAAGGTCTTTACCTTTACAGTCCCTGGAACTGCTAGGATATCCCTAATTATCAATCTTTAAGTCTAATGCTATCCACTAAATGTAACCTCAGAGTCTTTGAATCTTAGGTAAACTGGTCTTAGATTATTCTTTTTTGTGGGTTTGGGCTGGACCATACCTGGCAGTGCTCAGGGACTGCTCCTAGAGATCCTCAGGGGCCAGGCAGTGCTACAGATTTAACTTAGGCCTCCCAGATGCATTCATCTCTTTGAGCTCTCTCTAGCCCTCAAATTACACTTTAATCTAGGAGGTAAACAAATGCCTCTGACTGGCTACTGTTAATATTTAGTTGCTAGTTAACCTGAGTTAAACAGATTCTTGGAGGGAAAGCAATGAAGATTAGGCATTATCATGTAATATGGATATGCATCTAAAAGGCTTTTTTTGTTGTTGTTGTTTGTTTTTTTGTTTTTGTTTTATTTTTTGTTTTTTGTTTTTGTTTTTTTGGTTTTTGGGCCACACCCGACTGTGCTCAGGGCTTACTCCTGGCTCTGCGTTCAGGGATCATTCCTGGCGGGCTCGGTGGACCGTATGTGGTGCCGGGGGTCGAACCCAGGTCGGCCGTGTGCAAGGCAAGCCCCCTACCCGCTTTACTATCGCTCCGGCCCCTCTGAAAGGTTTTATGGTTCATACCATCCTGAGGCGGTTTTAGTTTTAGTGTAGAAAAGTTTAAACCAGGTAGTGTTTTTTTTTTCAGCAAGTGAGGCAATGACTCCCAAGGAATGCTCATGAGACCTGGGGCCACTGCAGGTGATACTCAGCCAACCAGGCCAGATGATTCAACGCTCAGTGTTACGGGGCGGGTGGTGGGGGCAGTGCTACATGGGCCACACTTGAAGGCGTCTGGGACAGGGGTACATACTGGGCCATACCCAGAGGTTCTTGGGAGACTGTGCAGTATTGGAATTGAACTCTGGTTTGCGCCTCAGCCTTTAGTCTATCTGCCTGGCTTTAAGCCGGATAGTTGAATAAGGCAAGGACCTTATTGCTGTACTATCCTCTGGCTCCAAATTGAATAATAGTCTTAAGGGTGATAATAATAGTCAAAGAGTGAGGTCTGCCCTTGTCTCTTTGTGTACTCCAGTTCGAAGGAAAGGAACTGAAAAAAACTTGACTAGCATTTATCCACCATAGGGTTTTAATAATATGTAATAATGCTTAACAAATAGGATTAAGGATAGAATGTTATGGATAGGAGGGTTGGATGGGTTTAATTTGGCAGCTTTTCAGGCATACCTACGAGATTTCTAAACAGTCATTAGTTACCCCTGTTATCTGTCATCAGGGTCCTAGAGGTTGGTGGAAATGGCTTCCAAAGGAGGGATTTTGCGTGGGTGGGAAGCTTAAGACATAAATTGTATTCTAATATTATTTCCTTTTTCTCTCTTAGACCCCACCAACGACTGAGCGCTTTGGCCAGGCTGCTACAATGGAAGGAATTGGGGCAATTGGTGGAACCCCTTCTGCTTTCAACCGTGCAGCTCCTGGAGCTGAATTTGCTCCAAACAAACGTCGCCGATACTAATAAAATTGCATTGTCTAGTTTCCTAAAACCCTTAAAGAAAAGGACCCTTTTTGGACTAGCCAGAATTCTACCCTGGAAAAGTGTTAGGGATTCCTCCCAATAGTTAGGTCTTCCCTGCCTGTAGTACTCTATCTAGGGAGTCTGCTGGAGGCAGAGGGCAAGGGAGGGGAGATCATTACAAATCAATGCTGTGTGGTATATTGTTTCTGTGTGGTGCATTCCTGAAGTCTCATGTGATTGTTGAGCCTAAGGGAACCATGACAAAATGGATCCAGTTAGAGCCCCATTACTCATGATCATTCCATTTGTCCATCTTGTTCTATTTGCTTATTCATACCCTGCAACCCCAACGACACTGCCACGTATACCACTAAAACCAAACATCCCCCATGACCTTAGCCCCATTGCTCCATTCACTCCCAGGTGGGAATTCCAGCAAATGTCCATAGAGGTCACAGACAACATATGTACTGGTTCTGTTATATCCCATATATTACCCTTTCATGTCTTAAGGAAGACATTTTCTCTTAGAGATTTTCATTTTAGTATATCTTTAAAAAATCTTGTGTTAACTTCCTTCATTATTTTCTTGGGTAAAGAAAAACCCATGGATCACCAATTTTGTCTATGGTGTTGCTTGTCACAGCTTTTCTTGATAGGCCCAGTACAATCTTGGAAATAGGGTTGCTGTAGGCTAAAGGTCAGACAGTAGCTCTTCAGCTTGCCTGTCTTAGGTAGTTATGCTGTTCATTTTTTTTATTAGTGTGCCATGTTTGATTTGTCCCTGATAATCTTTGGAGTTTTTCTGAGATATGGAGCAGTAAAGCAGCATCACCTTATTAAAATACATTTTAAGCCTTTTAATTTTCTGTGCTATTTTTGAAGGGGAAGGGAAGGGGCTGGAGAGTACAGGGGTAAAGATAAAGATGCCTTACACAATATTGATCCCCAGCACCACGCATGGTTTCCCAAGCACCAACAGAAGTGACCCCTAAACACCACTGGTTATGATCAAAAAAAGATAAAGGGGATGAGGGAGATAATATCTGTCTCAGATTATCATTAGTCTGAGAATGATCCTTCATAACCTTTAGATTATTCACCTAGACCCACGTGGGGTTATAAGATGCATACTATAGCTAAAGTGGCCATCAAGGATCAATGATATGTCAATACACGAGTGTTACTGATGACTTTGAAAAGGAAAAAGTGGAATTGGGAAAACCCTTGCTGAACTGGGGCAATCCCAGAATTGCTACTCATTTTCTGAGCAGCTGCTGGTATGTCAGAGGCTTGGAATTGGCATGGTAAATCTAAAACTGTCTCAGCACTGGTGAGCTGACCTCATCCAAGTTCCAATTCCTACTCTGCCTGATCCCTTTTTCCTGAGCCTCAGAGCTAAAATGTTCCTGTGCTCTCCTTTCCTATTGGTTGGTGAGACAGATTGAAGTTCCCTTGCCCATGTTAGGAGGTGTACGCCTCCTGAGCTAAAGATAGAAACAGCTGGCCCTTCCAGGCAGCTAAAAGCCTCCAGACTAAGAGGTGTTCCCCCACTCGGCGGCTAGACTCCTTGACATATCCTTTCAATACCAACGCCTCCATGTCTCTATTTTGCCATAACAAAGGCTGTGGGCAGCATTTTGACCCTAATACCAACTTTCCTGGTGAGTAGTCTTGGTCTTGCCAGGGGGGTTTTAGATCCTGGGGAATGGTCAGCTTTGGGTATTGTGTTCAAAAAGCAGGGGGGAATTTGGTGTACTTGCCCTGGTTTAATTGGTTTGAGTGATACTTAATCTTGACTGATTTTTAACATTGAGAGAAGCCTTGAGCATAAAAACTTGGAAAGGAGGCAGAAGGTCTGAGTTGATATAGTTACTTTTTCTTCCTTGGTCAATCTATCGATATGCACAGATTCCTGTTGCCATCACCCTGGAGTCCCAATCTTCCATGATGCACTAAAGGTGAGGAGTCGTTAAGAGGGGGATGAATAGCATGAGCATTTCCCAGTGGACATCCAGAAATCTAAGCTAAGCTGGTTTTGTTATCAGGGTTGGTCCTGCTGCCGGAAGCGAACTGTAGATTTTTCTGAGTTCTTAAATATCAAGGTAAATTATTTATTTCCTTGTAATCTGCCCTGGCAGAAGGATTCTATCCCTAATCCTCTCCTTATCTGTACTAGGGCTGTACTGTGGGACCACACTCTGCTGAGAAACTCCCAGAGGGCCCGCAACTGGATGGCCCTGCCACAAGCAGTTCACTTCAAGAGCAAAAACCTCTGAATATGTTTCCAAAGTCAGCAGAGACCTTGCGCCAGGAGAGGCCCAAGTAAAGAGGAGAGGTCCCTGGGTTTTTTCTGTTCACAGTTCCTAGGTCATTGGTCGGTAGGAAGGACTAAGGAGGACTACGTGTAAAGGCTTAGTATATTTTGTGCCATAGGCTAAGTGTGTCCAGAAATACATATATTACATAAAGGTAGTAAGGGGGTGATGGAATAGTTCAAGTCATTTTAATAGAACAGATAAACTCTCATCTGAATATACAGTCATGAATATACACTCAACTGTAATATAAGCCAGGGTGGTGGGGGGCGGCAGTCACTGACACTGACTTTTGTTTTCAGAAAAGAGATTTAAGATAAATGGGCCAGAGAGATAGTACAGCTGGTTGGGTACTTGCCTTGTATGTGACCCACCCCAGTTTGAATCCCTGTCATTGCATATGGTCCCCCAAATACCACCAGGAATGATCCCTGGACACTGGGTACAGCACCCCCCAAAAAGCAAAAAGTACCAAGAAAAGGATGTAAAATTAACAGGACACTGCAGTTATTTTGTCAAATACTTAGAGCAACAGAGGAAAAATGTGAACACAGAGGAAATACGTGAACACAGCTTGATTAAGAGAAGGAAGAAATAACACCACTACACAGACAAATGTGACATTTAGAGCCTCTGAACCTGATGGGAAAGAGAAGCTCTGGGGACTTCCCTAGGGATTTGGATATGTCCAAAGAGATTAAAAATAGCAAAGGGGCTCCTTCCTAACTTCATTGGTCCTTCCCCATGTTCACCACACTGACTCCGTTGCCACTGGTGGGAGTGTTGGAACTGCTTTTACATTTGTTTGGGGGCCATTTCTGCCTGTGCTCAGGACTTACTCCAGCTCACTGCTCGGGAATCATTTCTGCCAGGACTTGGGAGACCATATATGGCATATATAGTTTCAGGGAATTCATTGACTTGGGTCAGTGGCATTCAAATCAAGCACCATCTCCTTTGTACTCTGTTGGTCTTGTTGGAACTATTGTTCATGGATAATGGATCGGAACTAAATTGCCCCACCCATGCATGCTAGGTCAGAATTACCTCCAAAACTGCTGCCACTAAATATATCCCAAGCCCTGGAAATGGCATTGGAACAGAAGGAACTAGACCAGGAACCTGGAGCAGGTAAGTGGGCCCTTAGATTTGTTTTGCAGATTGGAAATTACTGAAGGGGGTGATTGGGTGGAGGGAATGAATAGGTTCCTGATTCTATTTCCTTTGCCCAGGACTTGATAGTATGATTCGGACTAGGTCCAGTTGCCAGAACCCAGGATGTGATGCTGTGAGTGTTTGTTAAGGAATGATGGTGGTGGTGGTGGTGGTGGTGGTGGTGGTGAATCCCTTAAGCATGTGGTTGGGAAATGATAGTATAGACTGTAGCAAGCCATTAGTATAATCTGATTCTTTTCTGATTCTCCTTTATTTTTAGGTTTACCAAGGCCTTGAGAGTGATGCTACTCCTTGTACCTACCACCCAGGAGCTCCTCGATTCCATGAGGGGTGAGAAAGTGTGGACTGTGAGAGTCTTTTTCCCAGTGTTGTTAATAATGAATAATCACATGAAGGAGAGAAAAGAAGATTCAGTTGAATTATCTTTGTACCTCAGGATAAAGTCTTATTGGGGAAATTAGGAGGGAAGTTTGGGACATACCCAGTGTTGCTCAGGGACTATTCCTGGATCTGCTCAGAAGTGATTCCTGTCCTCAGGGGACCATATGTGGTAGCGGTGATTGAACTGAAGTTGGTCACCACATGTAAAGTAAGTGCCTTAACTCTTGTGCTCTCTGACACAGGATGAAATCTTGGAGCTGTTGTGGCATCCAAACCCTGGATTTTGGGGCATTCTTGACGCAACCAGGATGCAGAGTTGGTAGACATGACTGGGGGAAGCAGGTAAGTCAACTTTCCACTAATCTAGTTCTGGGACTTACATGCAGCCAACCCATGTCCGAATCCCCAGTACCACAATGAGCATCTCCAATGGTCACTCAGGAGAGCAGAGCCTGGAATGGCTACTGGGCACTACACAAAATATTTTCTCCTTCCTGTACCTCATGGTAGTGCTCTATGTTCCTTTATAACAGACCAGATGATATCATGCTCCTTATCTCAATAGTCTGAGGCTTTGCAGTATGAGGCAGTTTGTCTCCTCATACGCCGTGAGAACTCCACTTAGGTCTACAGTTTATTTTAACCACCCATCTTTTATATCTTCTCATCAGCTGCCAGCTTCTTGCCGTCAAGATTGGCACCAGACAGACTCCTTAGTTGTGGTAACTGTGTATGGCCAGATTCCACTTCCCGCATTCAACTGGGTGAAAGCCAGTCAAACTGAGGTGAGAAATGTCTAATATGGTATGGGAGGCTAGTGAACTTGGGTGATGGTATTTGGGTTAAGTACCATGGTACTTGAGTTAAGGTAGAATTGCTGTATGCTGTCATCAGCATGCAGCCTCCATTTCTCTGAGGGGGATGTAGAACTTACTAGGTCAGCGTTATCTGACTAATCAGAGATGGCTATAGGAATCACTCCCCTAGTCATAATGGCTTTTTCTGTCATAATGACTTGCTCTGATTTACTGGAGATTGTTAGTACCTTTGTGATTATTTTCTTTCAGCTTCATGTCCACATTGTCTTTGATGGTAACCGTGTATTTCAAGCACAGATGAAGCTGTGGGGGGTAAGTAAAGATAAAGGGAACATAAGAGGAAGGGGCAGACGGGGATAAAAGGAAAGTCGAGATCAGAATCAATAGAGGCTATCTTTTCTTTTAAGTATTGTCATCACATCTAGTGCTGCGCAGGGCTTATTCCTAGCTCTGTACCCTTGATGGGGCTCAGAGGATCTTCTTGGGGGTGGGGATCAAAATTAGCTCGGGTGACTGCAAGGCAAATGCCTAATTTGCTGTATCTTTTCTCTCTGGCCCAATAGAAGGTATCTTGAGGGAAAGAGTTGCAATGGAAAACGGGAGATATTCTTTTTATTTGCTTTTATATACTCTCTCTCTCTCCCCCTTCTTCCCTTTTTCTCTCTCCCTTGCGTTATATTGTGTGATTCCTCACCTGTCTTTTCCTACCTTACCTTTTCATTTTTCCCTTATTATTAATTACCACCCCACTCTGACCTCAACCCCTTTGATTTCTTTATTCTTTTTCTTCTGTGGCCCTGTCTTTCCCTCTTCCTCAGGTCATAAACGTGGAGCAGAGCTCTGTCTCCCTGATGCCATCTCGGGTTGAAATCTCCCTGGTCAAGGCTGACCCAGGGTCCTGGGCCCAGCTGGAGCACCCCAGTGCAGTAGCTGATAAGGCAGGGGTTGGGTTAGATGAGGTAGAATCAGATGATTCAGACGATGATCTGAGCTGGACAGAGGAGGAGGAAGAGGGGGAGGCAATGGGGGAATAGTGCAACAGTTAGCTAGGTGTCCAGCTAGGATCTCACTGACTCATTTAAAATCCCAGAGACCAGGATGTGGTTTGAAACGGGGTGTCCTGGAGGTTAAAGCGAGGGGAGAACAAAGGTGTTCCAATCGTGCTATTCTTTCCCTTAAATAAACCTTGTATTCTACAGTTTCACATAGTGTCTGTTCTCTCAACACACTAAGATTGTCTTCGTTCCCCCTAACTTCTGCGTATGTTTGATACAGATGTGTGAAAACATGCACACACACATTCAGTCTCTTTTTCACAACTAGCTATTGTTAGCTCAATATGTGCCTAAGTTATGTGTTCAGAGATATCTGAGAAATAAGACTTACTCGTTTTCCTGAGAGGTTAGGAAAATTACAGTCTGGCTAACAAGTAAAGGCTAATAATCTATACCAAACAATAATAAATATAAAAGGTTTATTGAGTTCCAAATTGTGTAGTACAGACCTATAGGAGTTGAGAGAATGGAGAGATTAGTGGGGATCTTAGTAGAAAGAGAAGTACAGTGGCCAAAAAGATAGTACAGGGGTTAAGACACTTGTCTTGCATGTGGATGACCCCTATTTGATCCCTTGTACCATATGATTCCCTGAATATTCTGGAAATGATCCTTAAGCACAGAGCCCATAGAAGGTCCCAAACATTGGAGGGTCTGGCCTCAAAACCTTCATTAAAGAAAGAGAAGACTCTATGGAAGAAGTATAGTTCTGTATCACTTTGTTGAGATACAATCTGCACATCATATAATACACCCATTTAAACTGAAATATAGCATTTTAAAGATATAATCAGAGCTGTATAATCTCAGTCAACTTCAGGACCTTTTTAATCCCTCCAAAATCAATTCCTGTACCCCATTGGCAGGGGCTCCCAATTTCCCCCAAATTCATAAGCCCTAGGCAACCACTAGTCTACTTCCTGTCTCTGTGGGTTTACTTATTCTGGATTTATTCATAGAGATGAAAGCTTACAGTACATGTTCTTTTGTCACAGACTTGTTTCTTTTAGCATCATGTTTTTTTTTAAATTCCCTATCCCCTCCCTTTTTCCTTTGCTGCTGTCGATATGATAACCAGGGACTGCACATATGCCTGATTGGTGCTCACACATTACACATTTTCGCGTGTATTGCTCTCCAGGGGATCCACACAAGGTTGCCATGCTCACACACTCAGTTGTGATTCTACTAAGGTTATTTTATTTTTTTATTTTATTATTATTATTATTATTATTATTTGCTTTTTGGGTCACACCCGGCAATGCTCAGGAGTTACTCCTGGCTCTGCACTCAGGAATCACTCCTGGCGGTGCTCAGGGGACCATATGGGATGCTGGGGCTCGAACCCGGGTCGGCTGTGCGCAGGGCAACCGCCCTACCCGCTGTGCTATCGCTCCAGCCCCAATTCTACTAAGATTAACTGTAGGGTTTGCATATGTATTCCCTGGGGGCATATTCCCATAACATATGTGTGTGCACTCTTTAGTTGAGGCCTACACATTATGGTTGTAGGTGCCAGGTGTCATATTTCCAGTCCATTATACTTGAACACTTTTTTTAAAAATCACAGTATTCACTGGGTTGTGCCCTTTGGTGGTTCTCACACACATCTAGCTGTAGTGACACCAGAAATTTCTTATAGCACCTAATAATTCAGAAGTGCCAGAATTGTGCATGCGATCACACCAAGGATTTGAACTTGGGGTCAAATTTTTGTTTTTGCTTTGGGGCCACACCAGACAGTCATGATCATGATCAACCTGTTTTTCATCAAATGCCTCGAGCAGGCACCAGTAACGTCTCCTTCATCCTAGCCCTGAGATTTTCAAAAGTGCCATATTCAAGGCTCTTTCAGGATTAGGAGAATGAGACCCATCATTGTTACTGGTATTTGGCATATTGGGTACACCACGGGGAGTTTGCCAGACTCTGCTGTGTGGGCAGGTTACATTGGGTAGCTTGCCAGGTTGTCCAAAGTAAGAATGAGATAATAAGATGTCGCGCAGCCGCAAATGCTCAGGGCGGGGAGGGAAACTCAACCCGCCTCCCTCCAAGGGGCCCTGGTGAGGACAGCCAGGTGTGGGGGCAGGAGACTCTGCGCTGTTCTCTTCCAGGAGCTGGGTCTCTGGGTCTTGGCTGTTGATGGGATTACACAGCGCCGGGGGGCAGTTGGTGGGTATGACCCCTGCCTACTGGAAGATGGAGGATCTGGGTGGAGGATGCTCAGCCCCGATCCGAGCAGGCTTGGAGATCTCAGCCCCGGCACCCGTATGCCTTTGTTCCTCTGCTGGTACCTTCATGCGTGTGGAGAGTGGTCTCAGCATGATTGTGGCTGGTTCTGGAGGTTTTCGGCTGCCGGGGCTCTGCTCGGGGCAAAAGGGAAATACCACGCAGTGCTCAGGGTTTACTCCTGACTCTTTGTGCAGGGATCACACATGGTGGGCTCATGACCATATAGTATGCTGGGAAATGAGCCTGGGTTGGCCATGTGCAAGACAAGCACCCTGCCTGCTGTACTATCATTCAGGCCCCATGTTCCCATTATTTGTAATTGACAATTATGGTTTTGATGGGGCTGGAGTGATAGCACAGTCGGTAGGGCGTTTGCCTTGCACGCGGCCCGACCTGGGTTCAATTTCCAGCATCCCATATGGTTCCCCGAGCACCGCCAGGAGTAATTCCTGAGTGCATGAACCAGGAGTAACCCCTGTGCATCACCAGGTGTGACCCAAAAAGCAAAAAATAAAAAGAAAAAAAAGACAATTATGGTTTTGATGCAGATTGTTACCTCCCATGTGCTGGATATCCTTCACCTATGTTCCCATATTATTGGCAGCCTGTCTACATTCCCCCTAACTTGGCACTCTCAAGTCTGTGTTCAATAATACATATCAATAATGATTTATTGTCAATTGATGAGACTATCATATTATGTAATAAATCATATGATAAAATATCTTTGATTAGTTTCTCTATATTCCGCAGATGAGTAGGATCATCATGTAATTGTCCTTTTGCTTCTAGCTGATTCTGCTCGTGTTTTTGTTTGGGAGTCACAATGCAGCGGTGCTCAGGGCTTACTTCTGGCTCTGACCTCAGGAATTACACCTGGTGGTATCCGGTGTACCATATGGGATGCCAGGGATCAAACCTGGGCCAGCCATGTGCAAGGCAAATAACCTACCCACTATACTCTCTTGCTACCATGATTCTGCTCATTAATGTATAATATTTTTATTTAAAAAATTGTTGTAGGAGCCATACCCAGTGGTGCTCAGGCTCTATATTGCTAGGTATCAAACCCAGTGCTTTGTACATACTGGGCAAATAATTGACCACTTGAGCTACATCCTTGGCCCCATTTAATTGCCTTTTTATTTTGTTTTGCTTTGGGACCATATCCACCAAACTTCAAGTCTACTCCCAGCTCACTGCTGGTAAAGAACTCCCAACAGTGCCTGGAAACCAAACAGTGCTGGTGATTGAATCAGGGAGTCCAGTCGCAAAGCATGTACTCCAGTCATTTGAGCCATATTCCCAACACTTAAAAAGTTTTGAATATGACCCAGAGGCACACAAAGCAATCTCGGAACTATGCATCTTTGGGCAGAAATCCCTCCAGACTTAATTAGTAAAATATCATAAATCTAAAAGCGGCATGGCCGCACAACATCATATGCTATTCATAAAGAGCAATAGAAAAAAATTACTTCACGATGCCTTTTCAGCAGGTCTGATTGTTGGGGGAAAATTCCAAATAATAATGGTGCATCTTTTGTTGAAATAATGGATGTAATAAAAGTAGAGAGTTAAGTGGAAATCATCTGCCTCACAGGCAGGGGGAGGGGTGAGATGGGGAGTATATTGGGGTTCTTGGTGGTGGAAAATATGCACTGGTGAGGGGATAGGTGTTTGATCATTGTATGACCGAGACTTAAACCTGAAAGCTTTGTAACTGTTCTCATGGTTATTCAATAAATAAATTAAAAAATTTTTTGAATATGGAGGCCTCCACAGTGATACTCAGAGGGCAGCTATGGCCACACACAATAGCTCTGGGGTGCATATGGTACAGGGTACTTAACCTGAGACCCTGTGAATGCAAAGACATGCCCCACCTCTTTGGGCTCTCTCCCAAGCCCTGTATATTTCATCATTTTACACATAAAACCGACCACATTTTTTGGAGAGTAGGGAACACTTGGCAGTGCTCAAGGGCCATTTGCTGTGGTGTTTGGGGAACCATATGGTGTTAGAGATCAAACCTGGGCCTTCCATATGCAAAGCATGTGCTCAGCCCTTTGAGCTATCTCCCCAGCTTTGTCACATTTTGAGGGAGGGGCTGTGGACTACATCCAGTGGTGTTTTGGCACCATTCCTGGCTCTGTGCTCAGGAGTTACTCCAGTTGTGTTCCGTGAACCATTGGTACTGAAGAGTAAATCCATGCCTCATGCTATAAAACTTGTGACTTGCCCATTGAGTCACCCTCTTTAGCCATAATTTTACTTATTTGTTTATTTCAGGGGTTTTTTTTTGAGGGGAGGCCACATCTGCTGGTGCTCAGGCTTAGTCATGACTCTACCATCAGGGATCACTCCTGGTGGGCTCAAGGGAACCATGTAAGATGTTGGGGATTCAACCCAGGTCTGCCATGTGCAAGAGAAAAGCTGTACTATCATTCTGACAGATTTGTAAGAGTTTTTACCTAAGTATATATACTGGAGACAAGTCTTTTTCCACTCCCTGCCTTTTAGCATTCTTGGCAATTGCACTCAGGGTTCGCACATGCAAAGCAAGTGCTCTACCATTCAACCACCTACCTGGCCATGGAAGCAGGACTCTTGTGATTTATGAATATGATTTATAGAAATTTTCTCTCATTCTGTGTGTTATATACTTCCTTAATGATATCTTCCGATACACAAATGTTTTTGATTTTATGAAGTCCAATTTATCTAGTTTTCTTTTTTGGTCCACACTAGGTAGTGTTGGGAACTACTCCTAGCTTGGTGCTCAGGTCACTCCTAATGGTGCTGAGGGAACATGTGGTGCCGGGGATTGAATCCATGGCTCCAGCACATGAAGCATATGTTCCAGTCCTTTGAACTATTTGCTTGGTCCCCTATTTTCCTTTTTGTTGTTTTT